TAGAAGTGTAATTTAATAATAATGTCTCTGGGAGGACCCTCCGTGGACTTAGGTGCTAAGGCTCTATGAATACGGTCAAACTCTAAACGCTCCAAGGGAATCTCGGGCCAATTCCTGAAAAAGAGCGGTGGCAGTCCCCTGTAGATCTGTGATTGCCTCGGGGATTCCGCGGATACGGAGATTATCCCTGCGTGCCCTATTTTCAGCGTCCTCTAATTTATCTTTTAAAGTGTCCAACTCGGCATGTAGATCCTCCACTTCCTGTTCATGTCCTTCCAAAACTGTAGTTGCCAGATCCATACGCTGTTCCAATTGATGAGCACGAAGGCCCAACTCCTTTTAGGCCTCTCGCCAGATCAGAAGATAAATTTACGTGAGGCGGCGGTAATCTCCTCTCGCACTATAGCACGGAATTTGTGTAGCAAGTCTTCAGGATGTTGTTCAAGAGTATCTGCCATCCCCGATGGAAATTGCCGCTGACTATCGCCATCAGACTCAGGATCTCCAGGAAGCTGAGTATTATCGTCAGGTTCAGGTGGACTAGGCATCAGCTTAGTGGCACGGCCCTGCGGGGGGGATTGCTGTTGGGCCCGATGTTTTGGTTTAGTGCGAGGAGTGCGGTGCATTGTTAGGAGTGGTTCAGAGGATGCCAAATCACTATCAGACTATTGAGATATTACATTAGGGTGTGGAAGCCCATTTGCCGAGAAGTATATTTCGGTGGCACGGTACCAGAAGGTCACTCAGGCATTTCCTCCCGGTGCGTGTACGTGTCCCCCACCAGGGAGGTGTTCACATGTGATTCATGCTGATAATACAGCCTTGGAGGCGCTGGTAGTTATGGTAGTTGGGCCAGGTGTTCAGACAGTATGTCAATTATTCTAAAGTGCTCCAGGCACCCCAGATTCATCCACTCAGGATGGGGGCTGACAGAGGGAACTTCTCTACCCAAGCATCACCACCCCCGCAAAGAGAGCGATCCCCAGTTCCTCTGGGATGGTACAGGGGCCTGGCATGGACTACAGAGCCACCAGCAGAACCAGGGGAACTCACCCAGGCTGCCCCAGTAACTGTCCCGTCTCATGGGCCAGAGGAGCAGAGCAGCGCCGCGATCACCCCGCCGCGGCGGTAATCCACCCCGGCCGCGGGATTAGGCGAGACCGCGGCTCGACAGGCCGCAAGCCCTCCCGCGGTCCGGTCCGTCGGAGAGGGGCCAAAACCACTCGGCACCCCTCCCCACAAGCCAGGTAAGGTCCGGAAAGCCCGGAGTCTGCAGCAGGTTACCGCTGTCCCCCAGATGGCAGTGGATGGAGGTTCAGGCTGCCGGAGCTTTCAAAAAAGCGACTGTTCCCGGCGCCTCCTTGGACACGCCCCCCTTTATTATTATTTTTTAAGTGCACCATTATACATTTGCATTGTGTGAACAGGGTATGTGGTAAACAATTGTTTCTGTGTGCCCTGACATTGAGCCAGTGTTGATCTATGCAGATCAATGTAGCTCAACAGATTTGGTAAGAATGAGCTCTGCACATGTGTGTTGTATGTGCGCTGTGAAGACAATCCCAAGTCCAAATTATTTGGTACTGCCTGATAACCTCCAATTAGATTCAATGGTTTCTGCAATGTTCCCTATGCATGCTTTAGTCTGGTTGCAATGAGGAAATTTTTACTTTACACCCATGTATCAACTGCTGTTCTTTCTTGGTTGGTAAGAATGATAGTTACTCACATCCCCATCCTAGTTCTGCAATGGTGGTGCAGCTTTTTGCATCCTGCGCACCATTTGTGGTAACGGGTGCAGTTAGGGACGGAAAGAGAACAGTCTTAACTTCACCACATTAATAAGATATAGCTTGAAATTTACCATGTGCTGGAATGTGTAGCTTTATTGCAGAAGCCACAGGTTTTCTGGTGCAATTAAAGGATGTTAATCTTTGGGAACATGATACACCCATTTTCTTTATCATACATCACGGGACCCAGAGCAGGCTATTCATGACTATGTGGGTTATATGCCACCTATAGGTGAATGGACACTGGCCGACCATTCAGAGGAAGTCCTCCTACACAGGATGTACATTTCAGTTTTTTTCACCAATGTCTGTAAGGTGGATGGTCACTGAAGTGTTGCATGTGCTGCAGGAGCGTACCTGAAAGTCTGTAACGGTTCCATTAGAGATCTAGGGAATTTATCAGATTCATTCAGAAAGGTGTTAGCCAAAATGGATAGTACCTGAGCCTCGCTGGTTTTGCCTGTATGCAGCCTTACAGCACTGGACCCTGCATAACGGAACCCTGTGTAGTATAATACTGATCAAGGTGCATGCGTACCTGATGCTTAGGCCACATTCATGCATGCGTGAATGATGCTTAGGCCGCATTCATGCATGCGTGAATGATGCTTAGGCCGCATTCATGCATGCCTGGAGCTTAGGCCAAATCCGTACCTGGCGCTTAGGCCGCATCCGTGCCTGGCGCGTAGGCCGCATCTGTACTTGTGTCAACTGGGTACTGGATAATTAGCATTTTTACGTGCCTATGTTCCTGCATAGCTGCATGCTTGCTTGCCTCTGCGATTGCATAACTGTAGACCAAAACTGCTATGGATCTGTATCCTTGCGAGACTTCATAGTTAGGTGACAATATAGATGCTGCCTTCTTTTTCACTTAACCACTTGCCTACCGGGAACAAGGTTTTCTTTGCAAAATTTTATAATAGAAACAAACAGGTAATTTTTCTCCTTCACTGATGTGCATTGATGAGGCTGCACTGATGTGCATTGATGAGGCTGCACTGATGTGCATTGATGAGGATGCACTTATGTGAGTTGATGAGGCTGCACTGATGGGCGGCACTGACTGATGACATGACTGGAGGCACTGACTGATCACACCGACTGGAAGCAATGCTGGGCAGCACTGATGGGCGGCAATGATAATCAGGGCACTGATCATCAAGAGTCTACCAGGATTGTGGGGGCATCTTGGGCTATCCGCCATCAGGTGTCAGTTGCTCAGGTTTGCAAGGCTGCTACATGGTCTTCGGTCCATACATTCACAAGGTTCTACCAGGTGGATATCAGAGCCGCAGTAGATTCTGCCTTTGGCTGCAGCATATTATGAATTGCTGAGTAGGTACTAGGAGATTATTGGTGGTGGCTATCATGGTGTCGACCTCCCCTCAAAATTTCTTTATTGCTTTAGGACATCCCACATAGTCATGAATAGCCTGCTTTATGTCCCATGATGTACGATAAAGAAAATTAGATTTTATTTCTACATACTTACCTGTAAAATCCATTTCTTGGAGTCCTGCCCCTCTTTCTGGAATTTCATTGCTTGCTACAAAAACTGAAGTACTTCCTGTGTAGGAGGGGTTATATAGGGGAGGACTTCCTCTCTGATTGGTCGGCCACTGTCCATTCACCTATAGATGGCATATAACCCACAGTGAATGAATAGACTACAAGTACCAACTTTGGCTGACGGCTTATAGTTCTCAGTGAACTATGAAAGGTGTTGTTGAGCATCCTCGTGCAATGCTTTACAGGTTCCTAATAAAAAAAAAAAAGCACTTTTTTTTCGTTTGTTTATTTTGTTTTGTTTTTTTGTTTGTTTTTTACCTGCAAAAAAAGTGGATTTGTTTTTTTGTTTTTGTTTTGTTTTTTTTAAAGGTGAACTTATCCTTCAACCTTTTGAAGAGCAAGGGCCACTTAAGTGATTTGGTAACTGGTCACAGGCCACAATGAAATGGTTCAGAATTTAAAATGTTTTATTTTGAATAGCATAATGAACATTTTCCTCCTGCAGCCGCTGCATGCCAACTGGAGGAAGAGGAGGAGAAGCTGGCTGTCAGCAGTTTCAGGAGAAAAATGGAGAGGATCAATTCCTGTATGTGCCACCCCTGCTGCCCCTCTTGTTTAAGTGTAAAAACAGAATGCAACAGGAAGGCCACACAGGCTCCCTGGAGCATGGGGCAGGGTCGCCATTGCAACCGCTGTATCTACATCACTGGTTGCGGGGGTGTGGTAAAAACATGCCTCAACTATGGGGCTTTACACCCCCCCCCCCCCCCACCAACCGCAAATGTAAATGAGCCCTTACCATCCTGAGCTGCTTTCACACTTATGCGCTGCGGGTGCAGCGTGGTGCACCTGCAGCTTCCCTGCGGGTTAGCTACACTTTGCCATAGTATTTTATTACATCTTGCGGGTGTGGTGCACTTTCTGGAAGCAAACCAAATTTCTTGCATTCAGTTTTAGGTTGAGAGCCACTTCAGAGGGCTCCAAGGGCCACAGGTGGAGCAACCCTGCGTTAAATTAAATATGAACTTTTTTGTCTTAGTGTAAAACTTGTATGAGAATGACTGACTACATTGCTTACAACTCTGGTAACCCTAATCTCATTTTGAACTTGATGGTGATAGCAACGTTTTGTGGGGATTCTTTTATCGGCAAGGATTGAGGGCAAGCTTGATGGAGCCAAATACAGAGCAGATAAAAATCTGTTTCAAGAAATCCGAGACTGAGTAGAGGGCCATCTTCCTCTAGGTCAGTGAACCTAAATAAACACGTTGGAGTGGTTTACCAAAAACCTGAATGTCTTTGAATGGCCCACACATTTAGCTCAATTGAGAATATGTTACAAGTCCTAAAAATTGCTATACACAATTGATCCCCTTCAAGTGACAGAGAAATTTTCCTTGTGCACGTCTGTAAAGATTTTCCCCCAAAAACTCACAGTTGTAGCTGTTGCCAAATGAGGTGCTACCAAGTTTTGACTGTGGGGGCAGGGCTGTTTTTTTTTAATCGCCTTTTGGTTCACAGTAAGAGATATTTGACAGCATCCTAGCCTGAAGTATGTTGTGTAAATCAATTGGTAAATTGCGACTTAAATCTTACATTTTCACTTTAGGTTGTAACACTACAAAATGTGAAATCCTAGGTGAATACTTATGTAAATAACTGTATAGTATGTTATTCTACCTCTTTCATGTTTAGGCACATGGCTTTGAGATTCTGTGTTCGAAATGTACTACATCACAAATGAAGTTCACAAAACAGCCGTATAAGAGCTCTCTGTGGATGGGATTCCTTACTTCCTTGAAAAAGAATGATTTCTTCAAGGTATATTTTAGGAGTTTGTTGAATGGATGGTGATCTTTTTACAAGAAATGCTTGACTTGTAAATGTAAACGAATTACATGTGTACATGGGGCAGCCATGTTTATTTCATTGGCTCAGCTTTTTGCCTTGCATATACAGAATTTTTGTATAAATCCATCTATAGCCAAATGCATTTTTTGTTTAGTTTACTTGTTCAATTTGTATAGAGTGGGAATTGGACAAGTTTTTTTTTTTTTGTCTGTGTTTTTTGCTGGGGAGCTTCACTTCCTCGGTTTGTCCTGGTAACCAATGCCATTGAAATTGAACATTTTATGGTTGACCCAATAACAGGAGGTTAAAGGACATTTCGCAAAAAGAACTTCCCTTTGGAGAGATTTCCTCTGCCTCATGGTTGTGTCTCTGGGGTGGAAATTGAAGGGAAATTTCCCCAGTAGGACACTACAAAAAAACAACTGTTGTAGGTCACCTTTTCCCTGCTCCATTCAAATCTTAAAAAACAAAACCTTTTAGGCTACAAATCCATCCTCTTCCTTTTAGGAGTGATTTCTCTACCTCCTTTCCGTCTGTCTAACCCTGTGGTTATCTCTATGTCCACCTTTTCCCCTCTATTGTGCAATCCTGACCTGTACATAATCTGATGGAATGTGGCCGAAAACATATTTTTGTTACAGCCACATTATTTCCCATGTGCCTCCATTCAGCTTTAAACCCACACACCTACTGCTCCCACTACACCTGCACAGGGACTCCTCATGCCTGCAGTTCACACCACTTGCACCCCTTTGAAGGAAGAAGACACTCTCACACTGGGACCCTGATCACTTTTTATCTGCTACTACACACACTGGCCACTGGTAACAGGACAATTTCCCACTAACACACAGTGGCAGTACTGAAGGTCTGAGTAGCAAAGAGCTCATTTAGAACAGCCTCGGTTTCCATCCCTGCCGGGTAAATGCTCAAACGAACACACCAACCCTGAATCCCAGCTCCCCTGCACATTCACCCTGGTAATTATACAGAACAGTCCTGACTCTGAGGAACGAACGCACGCACACGCACGCACACACCTCTGCCCAGCTCCAGGAGATCCAGCCATCTGCACTGTTTGAGCAGGAGAAATTAAAGCTGTAGGACACTAGCCATGGGACATCCCCTTTCACCTTCCCCCTCTTCGTGCTTATATCACATCCCAATCCTACAGTCTGCTCTCAGCATACACATTCCTCCTATTTCTTCCTGGCCATCTCACAGTGCACACCTCAGAGCACAGCACATCCCTTCCAATTTTCACATGTCCACTACAGCATGCCCACCCCCCCTGATCACAACTTAACACCCCCCAACACACACACACACCAACTGCATCACCTTCCCTGAGCACACCACCTCAACCACTACTGATAGACATCCTCCCCGACTGCCTCACAACTCATCCACTTTCTTCCCATTCTTCACAGCACCCCTTCAACCCCCTGACCTAAAAGCTCATCACTTCCTGCCTACCAAAAAATCCTCACCAGAACTAAACCCCCACCCTAACAGCAGATCCTTCTACAGCCTGAACCTTGCCACTCACACTTCGAACCCCATGACACTCTCTCTTCCCTCAACTTCTAGTGACAGCAGATATCCCTCCTTTGCCCCCCCCCCCCCGTCTTCCCCCCCATCACCATCTCAGCCTCCACATTTGCACATTTGTCTTGTGCACATACTGCCCAGCATCAAATCTTGCAGACCCCTCTCTCGCACATAGATCCCACGTCCACACCATCTGCACTACTCATACACTTCATGCTACTCTCCTGCACATACTGCCCAATATCATACCCTCCTCACTACTCTTACATATACTGACCAAAGTAATACCCTCCACACTACTCTCCTGCATATACTGCCCAATGTCGTACTTTCCTCGCTAGTCTCTTACACTTACTGCCCAAAGTCACACCCTCCTCACTACTCTCCTGCATATACTGCCCAATGTCATTCCCTCTTCACTAGTCTTTTACACATACTGCCCAATGTCATACCCTCCTCACTAGTATCTTATGCATACTACCCAAAGTAATACCCTCCATACTACTCTCCTGCATATACTGCCCAATGCCATACCCTCCTCACTACTCTTACATATACTTCCCAAAGTAATACCCTCAATACTACTCTCCTGCATATACTGCCCAATGTCATACCCTACTCACTAGTCTCTTACACATACTGCCCAATGTCATACCCTCCTCACTAGTCTTACACATACTGTCCAAAGTCACACCCTCCACACTACTTTACTCATACCCTCTACATGCCTCTCCTGTACATACTACCCAATGTCATACTGTCTTTTACTCCTCTTCAAGTATTAGTCACCATGATACCCTCTGCACTCCTCTCCTGCACATACTGCTCTCTATTATACCCTCCACACTCCTCTCCTGCACACATCGCCCACTGCCATACTCTGCACTACTCTGCTATACCGACTGTACTCCTCTCCTGCACATATTCCCTCCATCATACTCTTTGCCCACCTCTCCTGCACATACTGCCCTCCATTATACCCAATATACTTCTCTCCTGCAAAAAATACCCAATTTCATACCATCTTTAACTCCTCCCTCACTCCTTTTCTGAATATCTTGCCCACTAAAACAATTCTTTAGTAGTAATTCTAATATAACCCACCCTGTCCACTCAGACACACTTTTGCTGGTACGCTTTAACAAAATAAAAAAAATCATGAAGAATAAGTGTGTTAAAATGTAAAATGCACATAAAAAATAACTTTAGGGTTAACACTGTGGTAGTAACTCATGCTACTTTCCTTAAAATGTATTTGTCAGCTTCAGCTGTATTATATACGTTTTATGTCATTTGTCATATGCTAGAATTGCATGGTTATGTGTTTATAAAATTGGACAGTAATACTGTCATTACTGTGCAGATATTCAATAAAACCATTGCTGGTGGTGGTATTTTGATGTTTTCTGTCTTTTAAATTTAGGGTGAAATGGAAGGGTCTGCACGATATTGTGAACTTCTGAAGAAAGCAGAGGTTTATTTCCAGCAATCACTATTTAAGCCTAGCAGGTAATTCTATATACAAATATCTATCTTCATTCACAGATTTGAGGATATATAATTGTTTATAATAAGGTGTGCATGTACTCTTCTGCAATGTAATTGTTTGCTGGAGCATTAATATGGCCTACTGCCCTACTCTGATATTATTCACTCTACGTAGTTTTCTTTACAATACAAAGCAAGTGATCTTCTATGGACAGACCTTCTCAAACAAAGGCTACAAAATAACTCCTGCATGAATCTCACTGGAGCCTGTATATCTTCTATATTAAACTATGCAAAGAACATAGGTTTTACATTTGCAGTATAGATTCTTATTTCTTAGCCGGGCATACAGTTTACATTGTTTTTTTCGTTGTGCTGATGCTTGCCTTTTCCCCTCCCACCTCACACACATTCCTATTGGTCAGTATATCAGCCCATCAGTGATGGTCCAACAGGAGTGTGTGGGGGTGGGACTAAACTGCAAGCTCTGACACTAAATAGAAGTGAACACATGATTAAATGCATCATTTTATATATGTAGTGTGTTATGTGTAAATAATTTTGATAGTGTGACTTTTTGTTCAGTATGTACTTTTCAATTTCACAGTTCAGTAATGCTTAGCACTGGTGAAGAAGTTCTGAGCTTGCTTAATACCTTACCTGTGAACATGGAAGAGATGAAGAAAAAAGAGGCTGGTCTTCCACCAGATGAAGGTATATATGTCAACTTTTTTTTTATTCTTTCAAATTAAAGAATTAAGATTTGTTGAGTCTCACCTCTATGATCCTTCATTTTGGTCACTATAGCATTGTTGGCTAGGCTTATTTCATAATTTGGAAAAAATATTGCATCTTGCCATATACATTATTACACTGTTCATTTCTTCACTGAGTATCACCAGTCCCTGGGATAACTGTGCATATCAAATCCAGCAAGAATTCACCTCTTGCAATAGTCTGGAGTGTATTTATTTTATGTATTTATTTCAGGTACTTGTATAGTGCCGTCAATTTGTGCAGCGCTTTACATTGTACATTCACATCAGTCTCTAACCCTCAAGGGGCATACAATCTAAGGTCCCTAACTCACATTGATAAATACACATACTAGCGCCAATTTAGACAGGATCCAATTAATCTACCAGCATGTCTATGGAGTGTTGGAGGAAACCGGAGTACCAGGAGTATTCACATGGGATTTCAAGCTTCCAGCATAGCAAGATGGTGACTTTGACATCTCCTGTACCTCCCAGAAATTGAGGAAAGAAGTGTGTGTTTTTTTGTTTTTTTTTGGGGGGGGGTTCCGGCGATTAGTTTGCTTTAAAAAAAAAAAATGCTTGGAGGGACATGTGGCTTGCAAAAAAAGCAGACCTTCCTTGCTTATTAAAATGTTTATCCTGCTGGGGGGCTAAAATGAAAAAGCTGAATGCATTGGTATACAGCCTTGGAGAATGGCTAAATATACTGTACCTAATAAGGACAGATTTCTGCATAGCTATCCTAGACCACAGCCTAATGCAGAAGGGCTGCCAAAGATGGCACATCGCTATCAACATATCTGTCAGTCCTTGTTCTGATGCAACCAACACAGTTTTGTGGAATACTGTGCCATAGTCCCTTCACCTCTTTTAGTTATCAGTTCCAGGTGTGGTAGGTGCCTTTCAGCCTCAGCATTCTTTGTTTGGCTGTAACATCCGAATGGTTGTTAGAATGGTACTTAGGCTTACCAGAAGACTGTCATAGAGAAGGGCAGCATAAAGGAGTTGGTCTAGAGGCAGGAAGCATACATCTGGCCCTGATGATTGGGTATCTGCCACTATGGCAAGTTCCAGTGATGCTAGAAATAATCCAACCTGAATATCATGTTTTGCTTATCTAAATACATGTCTAGCTAGATCAAAACCTTATCTTGGTATTCGATTAAAGTATTAATGTACTCAAAGCTGAGATTTCAGTTTTCTGATTGATTACTCATATCTTTCAAGGACTCTGATGTAGAGATCTCTACACTTGAGTTCCTGGAGCTGCATAACCGTTGTGGCCGTTATGAGGGGCTCCCATGATTCCTGATGAAGTTTATAAATTATTAACTAATGTGATTTTGCAACTGAAGGTACTGAAACGCACAACGGTTGGCAATAACACTCAATACTACCGGGCAAACAGGGACAAAGTTAGTAATCGTGGCAGAGAGATCATAAGACACATAAGGAGCTAGTGGCTTACCCACAAATCTCCACCAGTAACTATCTTTTGGCTGGACTGAACTTGTAATCATTCTCTATTCGCTGTCCCTGTACAAATGTGTTTTAATCATATTTATACTTTTCTGCCTTGTGCCACTTTGAACTATATTATGTTTATTTTGTTGAAGATGACAGCTGGTTGGACATTTCGCCAGAAAAGTTGGAACAGATATTACAGGATGCTTCAGGTTCAAAGGAAACTGTTCTCCCACCAACCTCTGACAGTGCCCAGAATTACAACTTGGCTGAAGTAACAGATAGCATGAAGGCCTTTATATCAAAGGTGTCATCACACGAAGGAGCAGAGGTGCCCTGGTATGTGTGTAATTATGTATTGTGTTTTTGGCTTGTTGTTTTTTTTCTCTGTATACTTGTGTTGAGTTGATTTGCATTGCATTAAAATGCCTACATGTAACATTTTAATATTCTGCACTACACATGACACCAGCATTGTGGTGTGAACACAACACATAGAAAACAATTGTTTTCTATGTGTCCTTGTGGTGTCCTTCATTCTTCCAGCGCAGTAAAATGCAGTATGTGTTAACAGGGCCTAATTCTCTGACAACCACTATGTTACTTATGTTTCTTCCATCCCAATCCAGGTTTCCTTCTGAAGCTCCAATCACATTTGATGTTAACTCTTTTACAAGTGCCTTGGAAAAAATTCTTGGTGAGTTTCTATGACTGTCTTGTTGTTTTTTGTTTGCCCACTTTAAAGTATCCCTATTGTTAATATTTAAGTTTCACCTGCTATACCAAATCACATGCTCCATGTGAACTGAGGCCCAGATCTCTCTCTCTCTCTCTCTCTCTCTCTCTCTCTCTCTCTCTCTCTCTCTCTCTCTCTCTCTCTCTCTCTCTCTCTCTCTCTCTCTCTCTCTCTCTCTCTCTCTCTCTCTCTCTCTCTCTCTCTCTCTCCTCTCTCTCTCTCTCTCTCTCTCTCTCTCTCTCTCTCTCTCTCTCTCTCTCTCTCTCTCTCTCTCTCTCTCTCTCTCTCTCTCTCTCTCTCTCTCTCTCTCTCTCATTCTCTTGAATGGACATGTTTTTTTTTTCTGTCAATTTTTTTTCTATTGCTGCATGTGATATTTCATCTCACTTCCTGCCTCAGAAGAAGGGTGAGCACAGACAGTATTGTAATATTAACCTGACCTAGTTTTGAAGCCATCTCTATGTTACTGAAACAGAAAAAAAACCTTTAAAAAATTGTGTTTTCTGCAATCTGTGTCCCCACTGTGGAGATTTTCCATAACTTCCTGTGCTCATAGAAAGTGAGGGGAAATCCCCCAGGGCCACATACCAAAGTAATACCATGGCAGTGGTCTGTACCTGTTAAACTATAATTTAAAAAAAAAAAGTTTTTGCTGGAGTTGGACCTTAAATGTTCAATTACATGTTGTCTCACATCTTGGAGCTTTTCCTCAGAGATTCCGTAAGTCCCACAGTTTGTTCACATTTGATCCTATGTTCAATGGTACAGTGGCATGCAACGAGAATGTTTGTTTAGTTTTTGATAGAATCAGAAGATATGTGCATCATCATTTGCTTGCAGCTTCTAAATTGGATTGGGGCAGGAGGGTTTTTTGGACTATATGTTCATCATTTGCTCAGTTTGAATTGGTTAGGTTTGCAATAGTTTCCTTTGTTAATCCAGCAAATTTTCATGTATACATTTTGAAGCTACATATCCCACATGAAAAAACGTTTTAGAGTGATAAGTCTGTAATCCTTCCTGCAAAATTAACAATTTCAGTTGGTGGTCAGCTATGTTTGACTTATATTAGGCTTGTTTTGCTGAAATATTTTTTTTTTACAGGTCCAAGTCCAGAAGAGCTGGATTCTGATGATCTAGAGTCTGAGGAGGATTTTGACCTGCTAGAAAGTGATGAAGATGTGGACGGCATTGTAGAGTCACCCCTGGGTGCAGACACCCTGAAAAGCTTGCATTCCTATATGGATGTACTGGACAGAGAACTAGCACACACCAACATTGGAAAAAGTTTCACCAAGAAGAAAAATGAGGTGAGATAGTTAAGTTGATTGGGAAGTAAGAACTCTGTTACATGCTTGTGCATTCCATTTATAAGGGTGCACAAGTATAAGGATACAGCTTCCTATGTACCTGGTTTTATAAAGGAATCTATCGGGGTGGAAATATGGAAGCTGCTATTGCTGATGTGCAGGTTTTTTTTTTTTTTTTTGGTTTTTTTTAACCTGCAGACTCCCAAGTCTGTCATCCTCATCCTTGTTTCTCCACCTTTTGAGTCATTGAACTTGGACAGGTACATTCAAATCAGGCACTGGATGCCTGAGTCACTCATTCTTGGTCTGGATTAGTAGCTCACTAATTAGGATAGGCTTAAAAAAGGGCCACACCGCTTGCTGATATAAAGCATGAAGTAAAAGGGCACAGACAGTGGTCTCAGCCAGCCACTAGCTCATGTGATAAGACTATGATTGGCTAATCTGCCAAGACAGCCAGGCTGCTTCCATTTAGTGTCAGCATGGATGCAAATGGCCAGCTTTAGAGTGCTCTGGCATCTATTTTTTATTATTTAGCCTCTTGCTGACTGCGTAATGCATTTTTGCGGTGGCAAGAAAGGTGGGTTTTAACAGCTTTAACTCCCAGCTGCCGCACAGATGTGTCCGTGGTGACATGAAAATATGAGAGGAGAGTGGACTCACTTACAGCGCTTGTCAAGGTTTCTGATCAGGAGCCAGTAAGACAGGCTCCCCATGTTGTGACCACTGTGAGAGACAATTACAGAAGTCACATGAT